TATATATATATATTTTTTTTTTTTTTTTTAAACCTAGCCCAATTGAGTCTCAATTAAAGGGCCTTAGTTGTGAAAGCCATTGACATCTAATGGCCGCTGTACACAAGAGAAGCACAATGAAAGCACCTCTTGTGGCGTGTAAATCAGCCTCTCCAAGTGCATAATAGCTGAAGACGAGAATATGGGGACGGAAACATGTAATCAGAGACACTTGGAGGCCCTTAAATGAAGTGGGCTTTTTTTTTTTTCCTCCAACAATGTCTGTTGTTGTGTGTGATATCAGCGCCATCGCCCCACAATGGCCGCCATCTATCTGTCTTGTTTCTTCTGTCACAAAAATAGATTTATCTTACACCCTCTTTTCACACTCTCAGACGCACCCCCCCACTTCCCCTCCGCCCGTCCCATGCCCGACTAAGCCCCCAGCGTTCACGTTGCTATGGCAGCCAGGCTCCCACCGGGTTGTGACCTCAGATGATTACAGTACAAAGCCTGCTGGGGTCTTGGAAAAGAAAAAAAAGAGCCTTTTGAAGATGAAAAGTCTTTGATGGGTTTGTATTTATGCAAATCTCTTCAGATATGATTTATCCTGGCTGTGATTGAATGGAGAGATGATTAAAATTGGCCCTATTTTGGAAATCCTTCAATGCAGGCCTCGTTCTTTCAGACAAGCGAGTAAGGGGGTACGTTTTGGGTCGCCTACCTGAGATTATCATGGAAAAAGGCGAGGGGGCGCAAAGTTTTCTCCTCCGGTTTGCAGAGTAAGGGGGGGTTACTGGCTTTGAAAAGAAATATCTGATGGAGGGAGGAGGCGTTTGTGTGTTTCCAGATGATAGATTTTGGAATTTGGGCTATCCCACCGGCAGTCCCAAGGCTCGCTGTGAACTGGTCTGCTGGAAAAAAATTGGAACGCTTTGGTCTTTAAAAGAATTAAACTCCGGTTTTAAGATCTGCCTAGGTGAGCTCGCATATTAGCGAGAGGGGGGGGGGGCGGCAGAAGTGTCGCATTGTTGCTCCAGTGGCCCTACTTTCATCGATAGATGTGTGTGCCTGTGTGTGTGTTTGCGCACATGTTTCAAAGACTTTTCAAATCTTGTTTCTTCTCACCTTGATGTGTATGCAAACACTGTGTGTATTTACATGTGCATGCCAAGTCTCTGTCGCCGTGCAGCGTTTTTGAAGACTTCACACAAAAATGAAGAAATATTCCCCGGTGATCATGTAAAATATGTCATTCTGTCTGCTTCTTTGGCGTTTGAACCTTCAGCCGTGTTTTTTCGTGTAATGGCTACTAAGCGAGCGGCGCAGGTCGTGGTGGATCCAGATGCATATCAAAATGGTGGGCTTGCCTTCTCTTCTTTTTTACTCCATGACAGATGTTGAAAGCTGTCATATCGCTTACCGGCAGTCGAACATTTCAATTCCATTTTCTTTTTCACTTTTTTTTCTTTTCTTTTTTTCTTTTTTTTTTTTTACCCCTTGAATTAATTCTCCCACAATAGCGCAGTGTGAGCTCTTTGGAGTGGGCTAATAATGCAGTGGAAAGTGCACTTAGGGTGGCAGCTGCACGGTGAGGAGCAGCAACTTTACAGTCCCTCGGAGCATGGCGCGTCTTTTAATTTATTCATTTAAACATCTATTACAAATGAATTTGGGAATCATCAAAAGGCGGGAAGGGGTTGATGTTATCATTCCCGCTAAAATCTGCAGAGGATACAAAATGTCTGATGTATGTCTGCCGTACAAACAAAATTAATTCAGCGGAACTGCGCGGTGCCGTGTTGTTTTCCTGTTCGCGCAAACAACGAGCTAATGAGTCGCACTGCCTGTGTTCTTCAGTTCGTTGACAGGTTTCAGCGCAGCTTGAAAGGACGGCCGCTGACGGGACCTATTCGCCTGGTGACCTTTGTGGAAACGGCTGTGGGCCTGCTCAACTTTAAGGTAAATTAAAAATGACTAGAGCCCATCCTCCAACCCCCTCCCCCCGCCGAAATTTCTGTATGACGCATTTCCAAGTGTGCTAGATGACTTGTCTCTCTACAATTAGAATTAAATCATGACAATTATATTTTTTAAACATGTATGGTTTGTCTCTTGTATTATTTTTATATCTTATTGTGTGTGTTTTTATTAAGATCATAAAGCTTTTCAAGGTAAACATCAAACAATTTTGGAGATACAGGTACAAATGGTAGCTATCGGACCGTAACGGAATGCATTTTTATACCAACCATCCATTATCCGAACCGCTTCTCCTCACGAGGGGCACGGGTATGCCGGAGCCTGTCCCAGCTGTCTTTGGGCAGCAGGTAGGGTACACCCCGAACTGGTTGCCAGCCAATCACCGGGGCACACATAGACCAACAACCATTCACACTCACAGTTACACCTCGGGACAGTTTAAAGTGTTCAATTAACCCACCTTGCATATTTTTGGAATGTAGGAGGAAATAGTTCTTGAATGTTTGATCATAGTTCTTTGAACTCACTTTGTATCATCGTGGAACTGTTACATTTAATTTTTCCATCTTCCCATACTCATTTTGGGTTTTTTTTGAGTATGCTTCCTTCAGCAGCGTAACTGCTATGTGATGGATCAATAAAAATTCTGTTGCTTGTTTGGAATTGAATGCTGTGCAAAATGGAGCGCACTACATGGCTGTAACCAGCAGAGGTGCTGTTGTTTTACTCTCAAGTAGTTTAAACTACAGTCTCAATCCACGCTGACCTGTGTTGACGGTGCATTTTTTTAGCTCAATATGTCATTGACATGAAAACAGAAGTTCAGAGAGTTCAGACATTGTCCCATCCCAATAAATATCTTTTTTTTTTTAACTTCAGAATTGTTCATTTTCCCCTTAATGAAAGGACATTAGTGTCCACTCCTCGTTCTGCTGTTACACATGATTAAAAAGAGCAGCTGAATAAGAAAAACAATGATATGAAGGCTTGTCTCGAAGCATTTCTCACCATCGTGAGATTTTTCAAAACTTAAAAAGGGAGACGTCCTGGCACTATCCCTTCATGTTTGTACCCACCGGCGGCTTACTGAGTTGTCTAGTATTCTAATTTTCACCCTTGATAGAGAGTCAAGGCGAGGGAAAAGCTTTGCGTTCATTATCATATTTAATAAGACTGAATGTACTTTTGTAATGAGTGCTTTTTTTTTTTTTTTGGTGTTCTTTTTGAAGGCAAATCACAAAGCCAGACTGTTTGAAGTTGAAACACTGGGGTATAATTAGATTCAAGATTTACTCTGCCGTTTCGCCCACTAACTGGCGGCCTGTAACGCACCTGCCTTGCTTCTCTCCAGGCGGTATGCGAGGAAATCCGTCGACTCGCATCTGAGGCGGGCCTCCATCATGACGGTGTGGTGTTCGGTTCTGATGACTTCTGCGCCAGTATAGGTAACTATCACGCCACTTTCCTGTGTTAATCGCGGTTCCATTTTTGTGCATTAATTGCAGTCATTACAGGTGCAACAATGATGGAATGTGACACATGTAAATAGATGCCCCTTTTTTGGGGGGCTTTCTGTAAATTGTTTGCATTTCAAACCAATTTCCACAGGAATGATTGGAACCAGAATCAAGCCACAACTGTTGACATTTTGTAAAACCTTTTAATGACCAATCAGACATTTTTTATTGAACATTTAACAACTGTTGTCTATGGTGTCAATTTAGTTTCAGTCTGTCAACGTAATTGTGCAATTTCAAACTTCAAAATAAGAGCAACAAGCAAAAGTGCAGTGTGTTGTGACTGACAGCTGGGTTTATTTCCCGGATGTATGGATGGATGGGTGGCGGATGGATAGATAGTATAGACATTAGAGGTAGGTTGTTTGGGAGATAATATAGACACATTGTGACGATGGGTGTGCCTGCACGTCCTGCGTAAAACTCTCCAACGTGCACTTGTGTAAATTCCATCAGTTTTTTATTTAAAAAGAAAAAAACAAAAAAGTTTAAAATGTCATAAATTTCATTCACTTCATGATTGTGTCACACTTCGTGTTGATTCTTCATCCCCCAAAAAAATTCACATTTTAGTGTATATCTTTGTTTGAAACCTGAAATGTGGCTAAAGGTCAACAAGTTCAAAGGGGGCTTCTACTTTTGCAGAGCACTGTATATGCACCCGGTCAATAATAGCCATTACCTGCTATACCCGAGTGTGTTAGTAGTGTTTTGCATGTTGTTCAGTGGCGCCGTAAGAAACAATGATTGCAAGTATAAATGTCATGTGATACCCTCTTAACAGTTCTGCCTGGTCCCTCAAGTATGCATGGCTAGAAACAGCTCTGCATACGTGAATCACTGTGTCTGTGTTGAAGTTAACAAGATGGTCGATACCAGGTTCTAAAGCTAGATTCAGACCGAGCCCCACCTCCTGTCTGCTCGAAACAACTCCGGTGTAATCACCAAGTTTGAACATCGCTTATAAATCTGGTGACCTGTGGATGTGTTCATATTTTGGCTGCTAAATGCTATCTAGCTTGGTTGACAGTTCAACAGCTGTCAACAAGTCAATATACTCACCGGATATGCCACCTTCCTCGCTCCCTTTTCTCAAAGCCTGCTCCTTTTTGGCTCAGTCCCAGCTGCAACTGGGAGCTGACTTTGTTGATCTTGCCATGCTGTATGTGTCTCTTTGTGCTGCTGCCTGTGATGTAGTAAATACAATCCAATACAAGATGCACATATAAAATTCTGCCTTTACAGGTATTCCAATTCAAATACATTAATTTGTCACTGTGGTAGTAGTTTATAGTGATGTACAACTGCACTGCATCTAACTTAAGAAACGCGTCTAATATAACTGGTAGTGGAGTGTAAGATAAACTATATTAATATCTGGCTTCTCTAAAAGCAAAATGGGTTTGTTTACTTTCCTGTCATGCACCCCTGCGTGAGAGCAGCATTTGTTTCCGGCGATACTGTATATGTTCCAGACTTCCTCACTCATCGCTCCTCGCTATCCTCACTTCCTGTGCACCCCTTGGCTTCCTTTCGCATTAGCTCGGCTCCCTTTCACACCTTGACACGTGACCCGCGTGCTGTGTGTGTTTACCCAAAGGGGCCACACGGACCAAGGATGCCAAGGAGCTGCTGTACGCCAGGCAGAAAGTGGTCACCACCGCCAAGGCTTTCGGGCTGCAGGCGATCGACCTGGTGTACATTGACTACAAAGATGTGGAGGGGCTGAGGCAGCAGGCCCGGGAAGGAGCTCTCATGGGCTTCACAGGTAAAGCTCATGCTGTTGTACAGTTGATTTTCTTTTTTTAATTAATTTATTTATTTTTTTGAATGGGAACACTAGATTCCAGAAGATACCCCCCCCCAAAAAATAATGTAATGGCAACAATTTTTATTATTTAAAAAATATATATATTTATATATTAGATATGTATATACAGGTATATATCAAGCCACATAGACCTGGAGGAGTCTACTGCTCAGAGCTCCCCAGTTTTACCCCGTGATAACATTAATGCTGCATATTTGGTTCACACACACACACACACACACACACACACACACACACACACACACACACACACACACACACACACACACACATACACAAAAGGAAAAAAAAGCACAGTGATGGGAATGCAGATAAAGACATGCTCACTTTTCCAATCTTGGAAACGTCAGTCCACTCACTTTCCAGCAATCTATTGTGTTGCAGACAAATTTTGTGTTGCATTTTTTATAATTATCTTTTTATAATTTTTTTTTCCATTGCAACATTGTGCTTGACTATAAGGGGTGGATTAAACTTTAATGTCGGTAATCTGAGACTCAGCACTAAACCTTAAAAAAAAATAAAAATAAGTCTCAGATTAATTAATATTAAGTCTACAATTAAGATGTAAATGTATTATTTCCAATACACTCATAGAGGGGTGATGAACATTTTTGACAGTTCAAAACATTTCCATGGACGTATAGTGTCCACTAAACCTGTACTGCATATGGGACAAAATAGCCTCTGTTTTTCTTTTTCCTCTGCTCTGAAATTTTGATGCACATGTTGGTGAAAAACGCAGGTGTGATTAAAGTGAGCTATCAGCCGAGAGCGAAGACGACGTTAACTGGGCACTCTGCGTGTCTGTAGCCAAGCAACCACCTTGAGCGTGTGCGCGCTCATTCAACACACGCCGGCAGGACAGTCCACATCCAGGGATATTCCATTCATTCTCCCCACCCGTCCTGCGGTACATATTTATTCTGGTGTTTTCTCTCCTTTGGGACTCTTGAAGCAATATACAGTACACTCAAGAGCCACTTCATTAGGCATGCACAATCTATTAAGATCTTATCCAAATACTCTGTCTTCACAAAGATCTTATTCATGCTTAGTTTTGACACTGACAGAGAGACCATTAAACCATTTTACTGTAGATCACACTGAGAGCTGTTTCTGCAATTATTTATTAGCACCATCACAAAAATATAAACCGCTCCCAATATGGTTACAAAATAAACTGCCAACCATGATAATGAACATGCTGTTAGATTAATAACTCTCTGGCTGTGTTAATTAAAACGGGAGAGTATTCTGTTTTTGAGAGCAGATGATTTGCTGTTTTCTCAGCTCTCGTTGGAATTGCAAAAGTCAAATTTGGTGCGCATACAGGATTTTATTTGATTAAATGTTTTTCGTAATTGATATTTAAGTTTTTAATTAACATTCCTAATTCTCTGTGAATTATTTTTCAACATTTTTCCCCGTCATTACATGATGTATTTATACTTGATGAAATCCCAGTCTCAGATGGCTGATTCATGCATGTGAATGAAAGCTCCAAATGTACAAAACTGTAGCCAGACATTTAGTTTGAAAACTATTTCTAGTCCTTAAGCAGCAGAGCATTGCAGCCAAAAGCTTGCACAAGCAGTACCTAATTGATCTTTGCGCAATCCACGCCACCATGAACGCAGAGCACAGAAAATGCTCCCACCCTAAATCCTATAATTGGTGAGGAATTGGATTTATACAGCTCCCTTCATGTTACAGTGTATTTACTGTGAAGTACCATGTTTCACATCTCTCTGATCTCTATTCAAGACATTTTTTTGCCTGGTTGAGTTGACAAAATTCTCTGCCCATCACTCGCCTGACAGCGTTTTGCCAAATAGCCGTCGTCCAATGAAGTGACTGCACCACATGGCAGCCCGCGATTGGCCGCTGGGCATGCATGATTCATTTTGGGAGGAGGCGTGTGTGGGTGGGGAGCACCGACTTGGGGTTGCTAGCAATCTGTTTGAAACTGAGGGTACCTGAGTCCCATCGCCTATGCTGTCACGACCATACACACGTCTACACTCTCTAATGTAACACTGCCAACCAAAGATAGGCACATTCTTAAAACACACACCTTAATTCAACAATTCACACTCGTTGCCGCACACTTGCATTTAAAATGTTACACTTGCACTGACTAGCAAAAACAGATTTTTTTGATTTATTGTGTACACACACCCAGGCAAGCGTGACACAAGATTCTCACACATGTGCCTAGCTTCCTCCTGACGTCCAAAGTTCTTTTAGGGCTACACAAATTGAAGAAATTAAATAGTAATGCTTCAATTAAAGTAACTCAAAAAAATTATAGGGCAAAGGGCCTCTTATATTCTTTAAAATGTCATTTTGCAATGGAATTTGCAAATTAAAATTTAGTGGTCATAATTTCTACCTCACCAAATGCCAGAAGTTAGCTTGGATAGGCTCGGGCACGCCTGTAACCCTTGTGAGGATAAGCGGTTTCGATAATGGATGTGGATGTATGAATAAAAAAAAATTTGCAAGAATAATGTTGGATGTTTATGAATTCAATGTACATTTTACAAGAATTAGTAGTATTTGTTGAAATAGACCAAAAATCATAATTTCCTGAGTGTAGAGTTGTTGTAGCGTAAATGCATTACCATCAGAAAAGTTCATTTGAAAGACAAAAAGTTGTAGTGTAATGACAAAATGCGGTGTTGTTTTGTAAGAATACTGATTGCTTGAAGAAAAACTTGTCATTCTGCAAGAATGAATTTCTAGGTTCATTTGAGAAGTTGGAATTTTGTAAGGATCAAGTTGTTGTGTTGCAAGAAAACTGTATTTTACAACAATGCTCCTCATATCAAAAAAAGCTCTTTTGCCAATATAATGTCCATAAATGGGCTCCTCAGTTTATGACTGTTCCATTCCAATGGCGGCGGCGGAATCCGAATTTGTACGTAGCACTGGTAGTCGTAATTACACTACATATTTTCATCAAATACATCTTGGCCATAAATATAAAATAATGAACTGAAAAACACTTAGTATGATGATAACTAAGCATGTCATGTGCTGCGTGATGACGAATTGTCGCGTCGCTCGCCAATCGTAAATGTCATGTTGAGATCATTTGGAATCCCAGGACTCCACTCTAGGAGAAAATTAGTTGCAATGATGGTTAGAGGTTAAGAAAAAAAATATTCAAAAGTAGTTGAGATTAAAGTTGTCATTTTACGAAAACAAATTCAGTACGGTTAAAAAAATGGCTTTACGAGAGCAAGTTACAATTTTACACGGATAGTCGTATCTCAAGGGAACAAAAGATGATCTAAGATCATTTTACAACTACTTTTTAAAACCAAAAAAAAAATAAAAAAATAAAAACTTTACATGATGACTTATTTGTCAACAATCATTCTTGGGTTTCATTTTTCTTAAGCAGGGCCCTGCTACTCCTTCGTAAATGACTCCTCAGCGAGCCAACAAGTGTGCGAATGTGGTTAGTCCCTTAGCCGAGCACGCGTGCGCATACACACATGCACAGAGCGGCTTTCACGCACTTGTCTTCACATCCATGCAAACGCGAAATGAGTGTTTTTAAAATAAATGTCTAGTCGCGCACAAAGGCGTTGACGGGTTGCAGCCTAATTAACGATGTCAGGAGACGTTCAACAGCCTGTAACTGCAGTATGTGTGCGTGTGAGTGTGAGAGCGTGGATACAGTACAAGTGTGTATTAGTGGAGGTTAACCGGGGTGAGGGCAGCTTGAATGGTGGGAGTGGGCCCCTCTCCTCCCACCTTTGCGCCACTCACTCCTGTTTGGTTTGCTTCCTTCAGCTTGGCCTACCTTTTTTTTTTTTTTTTTTTTTTTTTTTTAGTGGGGGGGTGGAATTTGTCGTCCGCCACCAGACATTTCATAACCGGCGTTAACTTATCAAGACAAGTCTGATCTGCGAATGTACACAGGATTACGTCTGTGGCGTTTGCCGTATTTAACCGGGAGGTGATTTGGGGGGTTGGGGGTGTGGGTATAGCAAATATTGAGAGAGGATTGTCTTGGTGTTTCCGACAGACTTGTCATTTGTTCTCTTGTGAAAGATTTCAATGTGGCTGTGACTTTCAAATGAATCAATCTGACGAACGGGGGTTGTTAATTCTTGGAGTTGTCATCAACGAATGTAGTTCAAAGTCTAAAAGAGTGTTTACAAATGAAGTTGTAGGTTTACCATGTTAGTTGGAGTATCATAAGAAGTTGTAAGCAGTCGTCATTGTGCAAGGGAAATACAGTTATGCTTTTAGTATTCTATTTTTCTGAGAATAATTTTGTAATGTCTTGAAAAGAATATTGTCGTGTGATGATAGGGGCTGAGGGGAAGGATTTTATGACAAAGAAAGTGTACTCATACTTTCAAAAGAGTCAAGTTGTAGTATTATGAGAGCGGGCAAAAATGTTGCTTTTTGTTTTCAAATGTTATTTTTTATGAAAACATTCTACGAGCAGAATGCTGGTGTTTTCACCAAAATTCTCAATTGTCTCATTGGTGCTATTTTTGGGAGATGAAAAAAATATATATGTATTTACACAAGAAATAATACATTTGCAAGAACCAAAGTCATGCTATTATGAGAACAGGAAAGATTCGAATAAATTCATAAGAGAGCAAACCCCCGCTACATTGCGGTTCAGTTTTCACTGTCACCCTAATTGTTTTTATTCTATTTTTATACGATTTCTGCAATATTTTCTTATCCATTGTTCTTGTTCTCTCTAAATTTATATTGAGTGTTTAACTGATTTTAGTATGTTTCAAGACCATATAAAAAAACAAACAAAAAAAAAAGATTAAAGTGCATACATTTTTCAAAATCATATTTTAAAAAGGCTATTTCCAGAAAACAGACTTCACTAATTGTGGGAAGCGTCTGGAACATGAGCTCCATGATGGAGGGCGATGAGGGACAGTTGTATTTGTCAAATTGATAGTACCGCGAGGGGGAAAAAAACGTCTGTTTTGGATTGTGGAATAGTAGAGGAATGCGAGTTGAAATTACGCTCAAGAATGAGAAATTCCACCTTGTAAATTATTGATAGCGTTCTTTTGTCCATTATTGTATTGTGCGGGTGTGAGTATAATTTGCATGTCATCACTATCATCTAACTCGGAGAAGCGTGCAAGCTTTAAAAATTCATGGTTTTCAAATTTCCCCTCCCTCGTTGCTGTAACACACCATTATTTTCTCTGTTCTGCCTCTTTTTGGGATTTATTGAAAAACAAATGATTTCAAATGACAGTAAATTAATGGGTTTCTGAAAGCGATAAGTACTCTAAGTGTAATATTTATCTTCATGCTGCAGTTTCATGAGAGGGAAATGATGCGTGAATTAATGTGACACCTCGTTGCACACAGCCTTTCTGCAGAAACACGCTCAAATATATTATAATCAAGGTTATTGAAGAGTGGGGACCAAAAAAAAAAAAAAAAACAGACTCAAGCTCCCGATGTCAATTTTTCTGCTGCCTCCGTTGTTTTAAATGCACACGTTGTGCTTCTGTAAAGTGTTTGGCTGTAAGCGTGGGGCGGTGGGGTGCTCTCGTTAATGATGCGCACAGTCCTCCGGGGTCTGGTGCTGGCCCTCCTCAGACGCCTTGACTATAAACACACACAATTAACTTTTCCTCTGCCGGCCAAATGATTCTCTCCGTGTGTTGTCGCCATTATTTTCTTGCAGCTAAGTTGCCTCGTCTCTCCGCCCCCCCTCACCTGGAATTGTACTTTTTTTTCAGATTTCTTTGCTTTCAAGATAAAAGGTCATTTGGTTTTGTTTTGACCTTTCCAGACTATAACACAAATACAGCTTCAATGTCTTTATTCCCTCGTTTTTGATGTCTTTTTCAGAATTATTACCATGCTATTTTTTTTATCCAAAAATATGTTATGCGTAACCCAAATTAAGCTTCATTTTCTTTTAAATTGTACAAGTGTATTTGATCATATCTACAAGTGTATGGAAGTTTTTGAAAATGTAAAACACCACTCTTGTTGCTGTGCATTTAGGTAAGCAGGTCATCCACCCCGGGCAGGTCCAGGCCGTGCAGGAAGAATTCTCTCCCAGTCAGCAGAGGGTCCAGTGGGCTAAAGAGCTCATTGCTGCATTCGAGCTACACCAGAAAGAAGGAAAGGTAACTTTTTTATTTTTTAACCTAATTTTTTTTTTGCCAGGTTTGTTTATTCTTCATCAACATAATGGTAGCAAATGTGTCTACTTTTACAATGGTTTAGCCAAAAAGAAGCCACTGTGCCTCTCTTCCACTTTTTTTTCCCCCCTTTGGGCCGACACGTCTATTAAGTCACTGAAGCTGCAACCTCATTTGAAGCTCAGTTGAACTCCTAAACGCAGCAATTTAAATGCTCTCTCCAAAGCGATAAGCAGAGTAAGCATTCATAAATGAAGGGACATACAAATACAAAAGTGTGACACAAGTATACTCTTGTATGTTCGCTCTCGCACACCTCCGTAGCTCGCCATAATGCAAAGTGTACACCCTTGGGTGACTCTCAGAGACAGCATAGGAAGAGGCGGAGGTATGGGGGGGAAGTCCTCAGGCCAATTAAGTGTACAATATTATTGTTCCTAATTTAGTGCATGGTTGGATCCTATGTGTCCAGCTCGGTAGGCTATCTGCTGAGGTAATGCACAATCTGCCTACAACTCTCTCTCTCGCTCTCTCTCTTTCACTCGCGGCCCACCAGCACGGCTTTTAGCCTTCATGGCCCCGGGGATTCATATAGGCTTGCCCGTCGTTTTTTTTATGTGTGCCTATGTCAGCGTGTGTACCTGCAAGAGGTTGCGAGAACTTGGTTGTTTTTGTCTTAGAGCATGACAGGTGCTCCCAGCTTTAGATTGATTTTTTTTTTTTTCTAATTTGTTTGTTTATCAAGTCACGCCACCGCCACCCCCGCTCTCATGACATGTACTTTTTAGATTTTTTTTCCAAAATATCACTTTCCTACAAATTAAAGTGTATGACATTTAGTATGGCATCCAACAAAATTGCCACGGCCTCGCCGTACTATAAATGAATATATTAAATAATTCACAAAGAAACATCTTACTTTACTGCAATTATCCCACGCTCAATACATGAAAGTTTATCGTGTATTTTTTTGTCTATCTTTCTTTCACCTTCCCAGGGTGCGTTCACGTTCCACGGTAGCATGATTGACATGCCGTCGCTGAAGCAAGCGCAGAACATCGTCACGCTCTCTGCGGCCGTGCCACAGAAATAATGTGGCCGCCAGGGACCAAATACAAAGAGCTGTTGGTGGGGTGCTGGGGGCCAGGCAGGAACTGGACTTTGCCTGACACTAAGAGAACAGTTTTGTTTCAATTCAGTTTTATTTTTTGGGGGCGGGGGGCAAAAAAAGGTATGACCCATCGTACTTTAGTGCAACCTGGTCTCCCAGGGGCTTCTGGTGGAGGGGCGCCATTTTTCCGTCGTCACGTCCCTACTCCTTCACTCTGCTCAAGGTCATCATGAAAGCATCTTGATGGTTGGAACTGCTGGGCGAAAAGGGTAAACAAACACTATTTTGATTTGCGGGAGATCCATTCACCGTACCCCCCGCCCCCGCCTTATTCAGGGGCCGGCTCATGAACGCGGAACAACGTGAACTCGCCATTTAGCGTCTTTGTGTGGGTCCCTTGAGCAAAAGTCATGCGGCTCCTTGCGCGGGCAGCCTGCGGGTCTAACTGTGGCCAAATATAATAAAAGCTGCCTGATCTCTCATTTAAGGTGAAGCCACTTTATTCCAAGCGGGCGCCTCTTGCAGTACTGTATTCGGGGCCCCGGTGGTGTTGCGTGTCCTACTATCATGCTACAATATGTCTGCGTGGAATTGCACGCAGGCAAACCACGGTGCTCGAGGAGCACTGTTGCCCCAGCACAGCCCATCCTAGCTTTTGTCTTCTCTGGAGGATAATTGAGGGGGGGGTGTCGCGAGTGCTTCATGGTGCCATTGGTGACCATGGCAATGAAAAGCTCGCTTTACACCCCACCTCATCCACTCATCTTCCCCTCGCTTTCTTGCCACTGTATGATGTATTGTGTCTGCAGACAGGCCCGCGTCTGCGCCAGGACGGGACCGGACAAAAAAAAAAAAAAAAAAAGACCGGACAGCGCCCAAGCCAAAGGCCCCAACAGTAAGCTGTCTGTCTGGCATTCGGCCACATTATTCCTCCCCACTCCCGCTTCACTTTTTGCTGTCGTCTATTCACCAGCGTTTGTGTTTGTTTGTTTTCACGACTGATGCAGAGGTCGGTGGACAAAACTGCTGCTCCTATTTATGGCTTTCATTAAGTGAATCCGCACACATGTCCCAACAGTTGGTGTGAGGAAAATGTGGAGACACAAATTGTGGGTGATTTTAGTAGTTTGTTATCATTTTACAATACACTGGCACTAAAGAGTTGAAGCCATTGTTGAAATGTGATTCGTTTGCCAAATGTGTTTCAAAATTCCAGGGATAAAGTGTAACATTTCAGCAATGTTTCTAGAAAAAAAATAAACAAATATAGATTTAAGTTTGTATGAGTTCTGGATAAATTATTCGATCATCATTTTGTAGATTATTTTAGAGATGAAAATAGCAATCCTTATATAGGATCCTTGACAAAAAATAGTTGTTAAAACATTTCTAATTTGATAATTATATGTGTAGCCATGAAAAAATATATATGTTTAAGCGCACACTTGTGCGGTTTCCTGTTCATTTTAAATGCCTTGTATCACTAACGGTACATTTGTTCGAACCGATATATCAATGACAATCAAGACAGCTCAAAAGAGTTGCATTTAAGAGCTGATTGAGACATTTTCCAAAGGTTTTCTTGATAATAATCAAAATCACTTTACAAGTTCTTCCATCAATAGCTATGACATTGTACTGCCAAAAACGGCTCCGTGTTTTGTTGTGTGTCCGGACTTGGTGCACTTTTAGTGGCACCAGACTTTAAAATGAACAAGAATTTGAAAAAAGCATGTGAGCAGGCTCATATTTTTTTTCCATGGCTGCATATATGCTATATGTTTATAGAATATATTCGTCACTTGGAAAACTGTCCCTCAGAATTTAGATGCAACATTTTTCATTCTTTCCTACTAAATTCACCTTAGCAAATATTTTCCCTCTTTGCCTTTTTTCTTCTTTGTGGCAAAATGTGCTGATTTCATTCCATTTAAATGTGTTGCACCTTTTTTTTTTCTGGAATCATTGTTGAGTGGTGGTTCAGAGATGCTGATGTTTGTGGTACCTTGACCGGAAAATAATACAAGGCCTATTTTTAGTGGAATGTCACACTAAAATGTATTGCTTGTTGGAATGTCAACTTAGACGCCAGGAAAAGCAAGCTTTCACTTTAGTTGTCATATTTGTGAAATGTTTTTCCTCTACCCCTCTCCCTCCTACTGAGTTCATGACTGTGGAGTTGAGCTGTTTGGAAATGACCGTGTGGAAGGCACAGGAAAATAGTCGTTGGTTCATTTTTTTGTGTGATTTCCTAAAAAAAAAAACCAAAATGCGTGTCCCATCTCAATTTTAGAAGAATACTGACATTTTGTAGGGTGTCCTCAATTGTAAATTCCACTTAGATCTGCACAACACTTTTTTTAATGGAAAAAAAAATTATTGGAGAGCAACATGTCATTATTTATTCATTTGTTTATTTTATAACCCTCTTTGCAGTTGGAGTGATGCTCATGTGATTGTAAATTTGTCCACCGTGAGTATAATCTGGGTTTTTTATGATGACCGAACTTTTGCTAAACATGCCAGTTGTCAACAGGTGTCCCATGCCGAGAGGAAGGAAGGAGCTATAAGCTGGAATGGTGGAAATAATGACTTCAGTATTTCTCCCCTTCCCCCTCAGTCTCCCCCCACTCCCCCCCAAAAAAACGCTAGTGTTCATGTCACACCCTTTTTATCTTTTTATTCGGATTTTCGCCCCACAAAAACGAGACTCCAATGACATCTCTGTAGATTAGACGGGTCCCTGCGCGTGTCTCCGCACTGTGTAATGCTACGTGACGTGTCTATTATGCGTGGAACTGATATCATCTCCCATCCCGCTCGGCTGCTTTATTTAAACTCGTGTCGTCGGCGTTTCCCCGAGAGACAGACAGAGAGAGTAAATTACAATTAACGCGATTAGAAGCTCGCCCAATTTGCGGCGGGAATCAATTAGGCTGCGAGCAGGGTTTGGTGAAGTGTTGCCTGAGATCGCTTTCACAAATGACGAGCCGAGGGGGCGGCGTGAGCAAGTGCGTGCATTTATGCAAAACGTCGTCGGAGGAGAATTAAAACGTCGCGTTTTACATATTTCTCCATTAATCTTAATGGGGCCCGTGTGGCAGGCAAATGTGTGTGCTTTTATTCAAATTCCCCCTCCCCGCCCGGGGATTCTCCCAAATAATTGCTTGATGTTTTAATAGACTTCTAATGACAATATATGAGCAGCTAACTGCAGCTGAACGTCGTTCTACATGAGGGTCAAAAATGGGTGTGACCTGATCCATCAGGATTAACGTTTCAATGTTTTGCATAATGTCTCAATAAGGTAATTTGAGATAGATGACATTTACTGTATAATTCTTCAAAAAGGGGTGGGGGTATCCATTACAAGTGTCATAGTGCTTAACTTTTTCTATGATTTCCGACTAAATTCTCAATAGGATGATGTTGATGTTACTGAGCCTGACCTTGCGCAAATGATTTTAGCACAAAAAGAAAATCTGGGTGGATGCTTTAGAGGACAAATTTGATTTAAAATTAAACATGCCTTTGTACTAAATGCCTAGTCTGTTGTTATGGAGAAATCTCTGTTGGAAAAATAAAAGCGATTCAGTCCTCATTAATCACCCGGGGAAAGTAAAATGTCAGTTTTCAAAATAGAATAGAGGTAAAATGCCGTTGTTTCCTGCTCTAGGTGAGACATGATAATCTAATTCATTTAATCCAAATCAATAATAGAAAATGGAACATAAAATTCATTTGAAGTAAAAAGAGTTGTATATTTTAGAAAAGTTAAATAGTCTATCATGTTTTCCAACAGATATCTTTTTTTTTTTTTTTTACATGGTTATGTGCTTTATTTCTGCTGGCATAATATGTGAATTCAAGCCATGACTGATTTCATTAAATAAATTATGTCAGATTCTGGTGGGCACCAAGCACATTATTTTTTACAGTCAAATTCTGATTGATGCAAAATGAAAATAAGCTTCCCTTTCAAGGCAGGTGTACAAACAGCCCTCCTGCTGATGAGGCTGAATGGGGCTCTTCAGAAGGCCCCCGAAAGAGATCATGGGGTTGCCTGTCCAGAAATACAATTTTAAGTTGTAGCATGAAATTCTAAATAATAATAATTCATTTTAACATCACATTTTATACAGGTCTCAAGTCAGCTGGACCTCCATGTCATCCAAAATCCACTCCTTTCTGTGTAGAAACCTTGTACTTCTGGGGCCATATCAAAGTATAAACAGGCACTCGCGGAGCACACTAGAATCTGGAAGGGGGAGTGTTGAGTGAGTGGGACATGCTAAGGGCAACTTGAACCTTTGTTGTTGTTGGGTTTTTTTTGTTTGTTTGTTTTGTTTTTTAAACTTAAGTGTCCACCTGTCATGTGACGTTTTTCACCCAATTTTATTTTTCCCAATATTTTGTTTAGCATTCAAACAGTTTTTGGTGCATCAAATGTCTTATTACATTAATATCTGCAGTTTACACACTTTAAAACCTCATAGGAAAGTTGGAAAAAAATACATGAGTGCTCATGATATAGCAATACATATGATTATGATTGTTGTTTTTTAATACAGTACATACTTTTACAATTGACTTGTTAGAAGCTGAAATGGTCCCTGATTGTGGAAAAGTTCAAAGTTCTCCACTCTTGGCTCTTGTCGTGTTATTGGGAATGCTTCCACACTCTAGTGATAGCCAATGCAACAGTTCTGCTTTTATAAACACACTCATTATAAAATTAAAATAGGGTAGCATCACTTGTTGATCTTGAGCTGTTTGTGTGGAGCTGCAGTGAATTACATGTTGTGAACGATAAAAACACCTCGTATGATGCCATGCATGCACTACGATTATTCTGTACGTTGCCTCAAGGTGGACATTCACTCGATGTGTCTGACGTTGCGTCCAGTGAGTGTGGTTTTTTGGGGGGGGGGTTGTTTGTTTGTTTTGTTGTTGTTTTTTTGCCAACCCAGACAAGTCAAAAGTTTTTGTTAGACGCCAATACAGGAAAAATACAATTACAGGGCCCCTTGTTAAAACTTGTGCTCACCTTCCAAGGCAACTATGTCAACATCATGTCACATCAACAGTTGGTTATCCTACACGTCACCTTCATACTTGGACGTTAGATTTAAGATTACAAATAATTGCATTTGTAATCCTTTAAAGGACAATTGGAATATCTTTTCCTGACAGGGACCATTTGAGGTTTTGGAAAGTCTCCCGAGGGCCTTAGAGAAGAAAAGCCATGAACAAAAATGATACATTCTTAGCATCTTGATGTTTACTTTGTTTTCAGGTTTGCTTGGCAGCCCAGATCAAATGCTCTAATTCACGACAGATGGCCCACGAGCCTTACCTTGCCTGGCCTTCATGTCTTGCTTGTTTTTGTGTTTGGTTTTGTTTTGTAGTGTTTTATGTAGTGTATCAGAGGTGGACAGAGTGGATGGCGACGTGTTGGTCACGCTCAGGACTCGAACACGACACTCAGTTAATCCAATTAAAAAGACGATAACCCTGCACTTGGGTATTGTTCTCCTCTCTCTTCGCCCGAGTCGCTGACAAGCACTCTTGTGCTCCGGCGTGAAAGGAAGGAGTCAAGAACTCCCTCTCTTAATCCCAGCCACGAACCACCAGTGAAAGAAAAGCCCTTATTGGTCCTCGAGCTTTGTATGATCATGCCCCCGACACCCTCTCCTCTTCTTTTCTTTTTTTTTTCTTTTTTTTCCAGGGGTGCTCATCACAGTCCAAGGCAGCATGTTAATTTGGCTCTTGAACGAAATAGGAGGAGGGGGAAGGTTTATTCAAGGGTGGTGACAGTTATTAGTTTGTTTGAATGAGGAGCACGAAATAATCACTTTGTATTCAGTGTCCTCTTAAGTGGCTCAAACGTTGTTGATTTGTCGGACAAGTCATGCAGTTTTGAACAAAAAAATATTGGGACAGTTGCAGTTTTTGTTTTCTTTCGTCAATATGTGATTTAAGTATACTAGTGTACACCTTCAGTTTTAATCCAAGAGGTTACAAAAACCTATTCAATTTATGTCATCGGATTTTTTTCATTTTTTTTTCAGAGTACCTTCTTTTTCCAGCAGCTCAAAAGCAAATAAAGCAGATGAAACAATTTAGTATCAGCCATTTGGTACTGTGAAGTGGGCAGTACAATGTGAGCGAG